TATATATTTGGGGGTCCCACGTTCAATTTACAAACTCCTGGTGAGATGACAGAAGAGATATAGATATGCGCTTACTGATGCAGTCCCCTTTTTTTGTGTGAGGAAAGGGGGAAAGGTGGATGGGGGGAGGGTGGTGGTGGTGATCAGCAACGGGTCGATCTTAATGTCATAAATGTAAGTGAGATTTAAGACATCTACAAAACAAATTGGAAATGAGATGAGAGAAGAGAGATGCAGACGAGAGAGCGCAGAAAGAGATAAATTGGCTTTTGAAGGTTATTGGCTTGTTATATTTATTAGACTTTGAACTTAAGCTGATATTTAATGTTTTCACGAATCACGGGTTTCTTCGTCTGCTTTTGAGCCCCTCCACTTTAGCTCATTCTGTTTAATGCCTCACGCAGCCACGGTGGCTGTGCCCCGAGTAGCCGCCCCGCCACCAACCTCCCCGCTCCTCCCGCTGTTTGTCATTTCACTCCTTGGCCGAAGCGTCCTCAAAGCCGTCGTAATTTTTAACGCTCGCGGGGTGAAGGGGGGGAGGGCTACACGCCGAGTGGGCACGCTTTGACGGCACCGTGCCATTTTAATTGGCAGATCGTGGATTTGTCAACGAGCAAAAAAGAAAACCTCGGCAGTTAACGCGACCGTCGCCTGCCCCTTAACTCAGCGAGACATTTATTTGCCGCCTTCAAGGTGAGAAAAGGTTCCTCCCTTGCGCTCCCATCGCAGACGCGGCGAGCATTCTGCTCTGACCGCGAGGGCCGAGCAACTTTGATCCCCACGATCTGACGGAGGGAAGCGTGGAGGTCGCTAACGGACTCTGGGATGGGGGAGCATGGAGGGGAGAGGGTGCTGGGCGTGGGGGCCATGAGGAGGAATGAGGGAAAGTCGTGGTAGATGGCAAGCAGCTACAAGGCAGCGTGTCCACGTGAAGGTGCCAAAGGGGATATAAGCTGAGGAAACCTGCGAGCGACGGGGGTTTGAATCTTTGCTTCACGTTTACAAGTTTTAGGCCATCCCCTTGGCCGCAACGTCGTTCCACTGGGCGTTTTTACACTTTTTTTACTCGTGGAAAGGCCGTTTACGGGACGAAAGATGGGCAGAAGCGCGCATTTGGACGCAACCGTTTGAGACGCTTGAAAGATGTGCGTAATGGTCGGTATAATCAGGATGTGGCAGTTTAATGCGGTAGTACGTCAACCAATTAAGACTGTGATTCAGATATAAATTATTTGTCCACCTTTCACGGTAAGGCAGAAATGCTCGTAACATACTGCTGTGTTAGACTGTTGAACAGATGGCCGTGGTATATTCAGCTTCATTTACGCGTCAAACCACTGACTTATTGCGTAAAAAAGCCATATTTCAAAAGCCATACATCACTGTAGATGGCAGACCTCAACATTGGCATTTATCTTGTGAACGTATTGCCAAGAATAGGATAGTATACAGCTCAAATCAAGATAGTATACGGGTAACGAATGACGTGAAAATAACCCCTCGTATTTACTTGAAGCATTATTAGTGAAATGTTGCTTGATACGTTGCCTCGTTTTCGGAGCTGCCTCGGTATTATTTTAAAGTTCGCATTCATAATACACACGCACACTTTACTGTGAAGACTTAGAACTTAGTAGGGAGGCTAAAGTCGATAGTTTTCGCCCACTAGCTTGCCAAACGACGACGGGGGGAGCAATATCCCTTTTCCCGCCCCTCCTGTGGCATCACCGATGTCATTTTTGTGTGTGTTTTAGTTTGTTGTCCTTTCCCCGCACCTCCAATTAGCACGTTTGTCGACGTACGGAGCGAAATAAGTTCAACGTACGTACACACATGGGACGGTGTGGTTTTGCGTTGCTTCCTACCGCAAAAGATAAACACCGTGGAACGGTTTTATCGTTCACAAAACAAAATGTTGTCGAGAAGCCAGCGGGCAGCTCGAGAAACGTCAGAGAGCAAAAAAGTCTCGCAGAGTGGATCATCATTCCCCACGTCCCCACGAGTCACTTTGTCTGTCCCCGCACTCGCGGATGTAGACAGGGTCGGGCTTTGTGTGGCTCCCCCTGAACGAAGCGAAGGGAGAAAAGCAAAAGAGAGAAGAAGGGAAAAAAAACTCCATCGGCGTTCCGGCTTTTTTTGGCTCCCCCTCAAATCACCGTAATCTCTCAAACGTCCTCTGTTACGATTGTGCACGAGACGTTTGCCGAGATTCAGAAGAAAAATGTCAGGAGTGCACAAGAGTTCTGAGCAGTATTTCTTCTTATTCTAAGAATAGTGGCGTGATGCGATGTGCTCCCATCTGCTCAACAGAAGGCCCACTGTGTAAGGGAGACGTGACGCTCTGCCCCAGTGCTCGTGCGCTACATTTAACCCTTGACACATTACGGCATTCTGTCTTCCCCCTCTTAGCGAGGCGAAAAAGTGCCCCGCGCCAAGCCGTGCGTTGAAATTTAATAGAGTTGGTACCCACTGCGTGCCAATCTGCACTGCGTTTCGGGGCTTTAACAATGCGCGCTCTTCGGGGCCATGCTCCACGTCTTGCTCCACGACCTGGGGACCTTTGATAAAGGAGCTGAAAAAGTCTCCCAGCACGTGGCGCGAAACGTTGGACACCGTGCCGAACAACACGCGGCACGACCCGCAAAAAAAAACACATCTGGCATTACAGTGGAGTTCATTAAAATATATATATAGTAAGAATACTTTCGTTTAGCATAGCGTCAATCATGCCAAATGTATCCCACAACGATGTACACACATTATAATATAAGGACCAAATCCCATATAAGCGGTTGGCTACGTACGGCGCGAAAGAAGGCCAACACACACACACACGTACACACCAAGCAAGTGAAAACCCTGCTACCAAGCAAAATCTAAAATGAATAAACAAGGGAAGAAATGGCATCATTATAAAGAACACTTAGAATGATTTGAAGATGTGTAAATCACACTAATACTATCCCTGCAGATCCAGTGGCCTTTATAAAGAAGAAAAAGATTTAGTGTTTCATTTTGCGAAATAAACTGCCAACAGTTCATCTTCACAATGCAGGAGGCCTTGTACTCACGAGGGGCCCCTTACATTTTGATTTGGGGGGAAGATGTATTCGGACTAAAACGATCAATCACTTGGCAAATTAAAGTACTTTACGTTTGAACTCTTACTTGCACAGTTTGGTAGTTGATTTATCTGCAGCTTTCATTGAAGATGTGAAATTGGGGAATAGCATTTCGTGCCTCTGCGCCTGTGCCAGCAATCAAGACAATTCCTGAATCATTTTACAGCCAAGCGGGGGTTTGAAGGTTACCAAATATAACGACCCGCTTACTCTTTTCCTAACGTGACATTGAATATTGCCAAATCAATGGCTGTACGTTGCAGAGCAGAGGGACTAAATGATGCAACGAGTGCATTTTAGATTGGTGGGAGATGTGTAGAGGTTCTGAAATAAAATGTTTTATCTGTGTGTGTGTGACTATAGACATGTTTGTGTATTATACATTTCTCCCCGTTAACCAATAGCTGTTGACGCATGTGCAAAGTTGGTCACACTGAGTCGTAGGTTTGGGAATTCGTAAAAAAAATCAGTTTGTTTTCACCCCCCCCCCCCCCCCCCCGATGTGTGTTAAAACAGGCGGGATGCATGCAGAAGCTTTAATTCTCCGCAAGATAATTGTATTTTTCTTCCCCCCCCTCCCCCTCCACCGTTGTTTGCGATGGGATCCACACCGTTGACTCGTGACGCGAAACCAAAATTTCGTGCGAGTTTCCACCAGACGAGTCGATATCACCCAAGGGGCGTGCCGGGCCCATTCAGCCGCCGAAACTCTTTGGGCAGAAAACGAATCCACGGTTCACGCTCCTCTCCGCCCCGTGTGCTCATGATTTGTGTTTATTATTATAATTATAATTTCATGTGCGGCGCAAGCCGACGGCCAGCACCTCCTATCTGCACGGTTGGCTACGTACGGTGCGAAGGAATAGCCCGGCAATGCGGGCGGTCTCGTCACATCTCGAGAAGCTGAAAGCCTGGATAGAGTTCTGCCCCGTAGCCTCTGACAGTGCCGTTAGCGAGCAACCTGTGAAGGCCGGTAACTGCACACGTGGCGGTGGTGTGGCCAGCAGTGTGCCCCGGCCACCGTTGTCTCCCCATTACCGATATTTACACATCACGTAAGGTGCCCATATTTAAGGCTATTTCAACCTTGAGCAGGCCAGGACCAGTTCATTTATTCACTAAGGGAATGAGTCGCGGCTGGGAATCGAAGTGAGGTGGCAAGAATCACAGCGCAGTGCGCGAATGAACCATTGCGCCACCAGTTCCCACGAGCCTTCGTCTTTAGATGTGGGACGCCGAAAGCCAAAGATCTCCCAGATAGCCCCTGAACAGACTGTTGGAGCAAGTGCTGTTAGCGAGTACCTAATGAGGTCAGCATGGCACACAAGGGGATGAGTGGCCAACACCAGGGCCTGACCGCCTTTGTCTGCCTAGTGCTGAAGTTTACACATCACACCAGGTACTTATTTTAAGGCTGAGTCGACCTAGGGGAGGCCGAAGAACGGCTCAGATATTCGTCACCAATGTTGGCCGGGTTCGTTGCAGTGCGCCAATCACTGTGCTACTGCTTCTCGTGTGACACGTGTACAGTGTTTATGTTGAACTTCTTTCGCACCATACGTAGTCAACCGCGCTAATCGAAGGTGCGGGGACAGGACCACAAACTAAACACTAAAATAACTTTTAAAGAAATGAGTTTTTAAGCAATATTTAAAAGTGCATCGCTCCAGTGGCTTCCTAATATCGGAAGGCAGACCATTCCAGACGGCCGCAGAAGCGCACCTGTACATACACACACAAGCGACATGATTCCTGGCTCAAAAACACAGGTAAAAATAAAAAAAGGTACTTCTACAAACACACATGGGCAGGGTGAACACCTCCACACATTGTCCCCCCTCTCGTAATTCTAAAACGCCATCTGCTCCCGCTCCGCAGGTACCAACTGTGGGTGGACGCGTGCGCCGAGATGTTTGGCGGCCTGGACATCTGCGCGGTGAAGGCCGTCCACGGGAAAGACGGGCAGGACTACATCATTGAGGTACGGCGTCCCCCGACATACACCGGCCACCACCACCACCGTGACGGTGGTGCCCAGCACGTGATTGATCGCGAAGGCAATCTGCGTTGACATCACCTGTGCACCGCGCGGCGTGATGGAGAGGGAGAGTCGGATGGAGGTAGGGGGGGGGGGTGCAAACGAGGTCCACGGATGATTATAACATCAACATTGCTTTATTTATTTCGCTTCGGCGTGCATTTGTCAAACTTACCCTTTGCATTCACGCGAGTCCCGAGTCGTGGGTTCAGTTCCGGGGGGGGGGGGACACAGCTGCCTCTTTGCTTCTCTCGTTCCTTACCTACTACGTTAAGTGCGGCCAGCTGTCGTGGAGGACAGAGGCTCGGAGTGATCAGCTGGCAACGCTGAGATCCTGGGTTCGAGCCGAGGCGGCAGCCAGTGATTGAACCAGGTTCTCAAGTGGAGTGAGTTCATGGTCTCAGCCCAGACAGCAATAACACTGGTCAACACACTTTTTCTGGCATAAGGTATTCTGGCATAAGGTGCTGATTCCAAATCTGGCATCAGTTTTTGTCTATCACGTCAGGTTTTTGAGATATCAAATATTGCATTTTCAATAAAAACTGCAGAAGAAAAATATTAATTAAATGTGGATATCTACATAAAATTATATTATAAACACACTATCCTAACAACACAGCACCATATTTTAACACTAAAGCAGTCACTGACTCGCAACAACTTGCAATCATAAGTTACAGAGTAAATTTCGGGTAAATCAATGAAAATGGGGTATGCCGATAGCATAAAAATGAGATGTGATAGAGCAAATCTGAGATCAGATTTGGAATCAGCACCCTGAAATTAGTCTAAAACAGCTTCAAAAGTCCAGGCCAGAATTTTTTTTTTGTTGACCAGTGTAGTTAGCCCACCCATCCCCCACCCCCCCCCCCCCCTCCCAAAAAAGCCATCGCATTAAAACATGTTTCTGCACTTAATTTGGCTAAATTACAACTCTGGGAATGAAAATTAGCAGTACGACAAAACATTATTCTCACGTGGCAGGGCCGGTGGCAACTTCCTCCCGCCTGCTGTGTAAATCAGAGGCCACTTGAAGTGTTCTCGGAGGCAACTCTGTGATGGCCACTTCTGCGGGCCGTTCTCTAACAAGAAGGGCTCTGCAAGAGATCCAGTTGTGTGTTGCACCTCGGGACACGACACCGATGGCACAATCTGGATCAAATCGTGGAAAATTACAACAGAGGTATGTATGTATGTTGAACTTCTTTCGCACCGTACGTAGCCAACCCTGCTAATCAGAGGTGCAGGTGAAAGACAACAAACTAGACACAAAAAAGCAGGTAACAGGAGGCTGTGTGGGCCAAGTGATGAGTGCAATCATTCAGATCCCACTGTCGCCCAGGAATATGTGCGTGAGGAATTATGACGGCGCTTCACCTGCCGGAAAGGCGACGTTGAAGGTCCCCTGATGACACTAGTTGTGTATTCATGCCATCAAGTGACGCAACGAAAATGATCGAAGTTGTGGCATGAGTTGTGAATTGTGCAAAATATAAGTTCGTTTTCACGACGATGATGACGATAATGATGTTTTCCAGACACATTGGACAACTTAAACAATCCACAACCCCAAATTTTGATGTAAAGCTTTCGTGACTGCAGAGATTCATATTATTGGTTCTTTCGGTAAAGTCACGTAGAAGGGAAATAATAAAATAATAAAAATTAAACAATACAATTATCACGAATTTCGACTGCGACACAAGCAATCATCATCAGGTGTGAAAACCACAGCAAGAAATTTTGAAAAAAGTGCTTTTCACACCTGATGATGATTGCTTGTGTTGCAATCGAAACGTCGTGAGAATTTTATTGTTTGATTTTTATTATTTTATTATTTCCCTTCCGCGTGACTTTACCGAAAGAACCGAAAATATGAATCCACAACCCCGTGACAAACATTCTTTGCAGAAAGTGGTCAACATCTCATTTGTTCGAGATGCAACCCGTGATACATTGGGATATGCGGGCGCAGCTATGATCAGGTCATCTTGCCCATCACGCACCACAATGTAAGCACGTGGCTGCATTAAACTGAATGACCATGATGCCAAGAAATGATCACGTGATATGAATCATTCCTGTCGGCCACGCACGGTGGAAATTAAATTATCTGCGTTAAAATGTGTACATTCCCACTCTGGTGCATGCATATACTGGAGATATATGTGTTCAAATAATAATACTAAAATAGTAATCATTTACAGCACTTTGTCAATCCATTTCTGTACAACGCCCCTCCCCACACCATGTTGGTCATGGGGTTTGTTTGATCAAAAATTATTTAACTTTTAAAATATTTTTGGACTGTCAAAATTATTTATGCTAAAAAGTGTTTTAGACCACAAAGCCCCACCCAACACCATGTCTCAACATGCCTTCCACGTGAATATGAGGAGACAATATGCAAAAAATCCTGGGAATGCCTGTCGTATATTGTGATATAATATATCTTACTCAAATCAAGATAATATACCTTCTTGCACATACATACATATATAATAACTATCATTCGTTTATGGCCTGCACATATTTCACATTCGCCTACAGAAGACGCTTGGAAAAAAAATGTAACTTACGTGAATAAATGTTATTTTGCCCCCAGTGACGGGGGTTAAAACCCAGGCTCACAAAGATTTCTGACTGCGTTCGATTGTCATGCGTTGCCACCTCCTGCCCCGCCGAGTCAGCCAAGCAGCTCGGCGGTATCGCGACGTTCGCTTATCCTGTCCGTCTCAATGACGGCGCGAGAAAAGCAAAACATAAGCTTGGCCCATCCAATTCCTCGTGTCACAAATGATGAATGGCAGTAATCAAGCCAAGTGTAGGTTAAACCGGGGCAGGGCTTAAATTTTGATTAATGCTCTGCTGCCTCGTCTGGTTAGGAAGAGCTATTAAGTTGTGACGGTTGCACATCCTGGGAATCTAATAAATACCGCACATTTATCAAAAGGCATTACGGATCAACCGTGTGAATGCCGTACAGGCGCGCACGTTATGTTACGTGCATGGAGAATGTACGGCATATTACAACGCGTGGGTGATTGCGGCGGTTAGCACACTGGCGCTTATGAACCTGACGAACCCGAGTTCGAGTTGTGGACATGGCGAATATTAGTGGTGAGTGATGCTTGAACCGGTCCTGGGCTACACTGCAGACCATGCTGCCAGCGAGGTGTACTCCCATGACTGACAAGGAATGGGGAGTTACTTTTCCAAAAGAGTGGATTGACAGGAGGATGTTAATTATGATTATTATGATTATAGCATACACTATGCACCGTTTAGCGTTAAACCGTGGGAAGCTATGGGAGGTCCATAAGCAGTTTTAAAATTTCCCACCGGTTGGGGGCACGGCCACGGTTTGAGCCCCCAGGTCACTGGCATTGTGATGCGGGGCTCTGGCCGTCACGTCAGAGATCTCGGGTGGGGAGTCGAAAACAATCAGACGAAAAACAGAACATCCACGAGCGCGTGAATTGTGTTGCACGTGTACCTTGTAACCCGGACGGAAACCTTCCGTAAAGTAGTATATTACGACGGCTAGATATTACGCGCTTTGAAGTGAGGCCGGCCACTAACGGCCACTGATTACACTGCGTGCGGCGTTTTGGCCATTCACAAACACGGCCGGGCTTCCTCTTGTTCAGTGCCGGATTATCCTAGAAGCAAAAGTAGCTACATATGTAGCTACGGGCCCCGCACTTTCAAGAGCCCCGCGCTAAATGATTTCAAGCTATCAATTCTGATTCAGTGATTCTGCACTTGCTCTATTACTATAGTACTATACCGCCTTCAACTTTTATGAACGACTTGGTGTTTAAGGTTAGCGACTTGTCGTATTATCTGGCTGTATAGCAAATGAAAAAATACAATTACTTTACTATGCAAGTAAAAAAATGTACGTGTTTTTATATTTACGTGTTTTTTTTTTATTTGGGCAACTTTACAATAAAATATGCTACAGGCCCCGCACTAGCTTAATGCGACACTGCTCTTGGTAATAGCGTCGACCGGAAGGTCGGTGGCTCACACTGTTGTCTCCACCCTGACCGCCCTCGCCGCGTCCTCGGATTACTTTGTTTGACAAGAGAGCACGAGCGCGGGGCTCTTTCCCGTTCATTTGCCGGGCGACGTTTTTTTTTGTCTGTATTCTGGTGGCATCGTCGCTGACCCGGAGCGCACGGGGGCCAATTTAAGGTGGGGCGGTTGGTGGATGGGATTTCGTTGCTTTCAGACCTTCAGTAACAAAAGAAGCAGCAACTATAGGGGGGTTGGCGGAACAGCGGTAACGCTCATGCCTCGCAGCAAAAAATCACATGGGTTTCGATTCCAGACTAGGGTGCCTTTCTGCGTGTTCTTTCATGCGTTTCTAGATTTGAAGCTTTCGTGACTGCAAGGATTCATATCATGGGATCTCCTTTGCCAGTACCAAAATATACTAATAGGGTTTTTCCCCTTTTTTCTGGCAACAAAACTGACACCTTATGCAAGGAATCATGCTTACATTAACCACAATACCTGCAGTCAAATGCAAACAAAAAACAATACTCTGATAATTTATGCATTGTCTTTGAAACTGACTGGTCCACACCAGAGACAGCTTTCTTTGGAGCCTAGTCTCATATGGTGTTCGACCAGATGACGCCAAAAGGCGCACAGTTCAAAGACAACGCAATACCAGGGTAATGAGAGCTCGGGGTGAGCAGCTACATCATGGGATCTCCTTTGCCAGTACCAAAATATACATACTCTTAGTTTTTTCGGTAAAGTCACGTAGGTAAAAAATGAAATTAAAATGTTTTTCTATTAATACTTTTATTAATTTTAATTTCATTTTTTACCTACGTGACTTTGATGAAAAAACTAAGAGTATATTTCATGCGTTTCCTTCAGGTTCTCTGTTTTTTTCCCTCCCATAGCTAAATAAAAACTTCAGA